AATAATTATCTTTCAAAGTTCAAGAGCAAACACCAGCAATAACTTATATCAACTGCATTACTGGTAGTCTGTAAAAGTTGGTGGGAGATTTTTCTTATCATCAGTTTCTGTATAATGCTGTAGTCCTTGAGCAAAGTTAGAAATAGTCACTTGGAAGAAATAAAAAGGAAAGAAAGAGTCACTTGGGAATCTCTTTATGAAGAATTCTGAGAAGGAAACAGGTAAGCAGGAGAAATAAAAAGGGAGATAAAATATATTCTTCATATTCTGATAACAAATGTGTTTGTGGTATTAAGACACTAACTGAGCTATGGTTTAAGCAATAAGGACAATGAGGGTATGTGAATATCAGACAATACAGGAATACCAGACAAAAATCTTGGTTCCAGGGCCAGCAGGTGGCGTGGTGGTTAAGGGTGCTAGACTCCCACATGGCTGACTGTGGTTCAAGTCCCAGACCTGGTGGCTTGCTTTTTCACTTTCCCTCTCTCTTCATCTCTCTCTCTCTTACTCTGTTTCATTCTGGTCAAATTAAAATAAATAAATAAAGTTAAATAAAATAAATCTTAAAAAAAATATTAGTTCTTCAGGCATGTGGTCAGATGAGCTTGCTTAAACAATGACACATGGGCTCTCTGGCTCACACAGCACGTAGCATTTTCTCTTTCCAATAAGATTAATTAATACAATATAACAAACATTTAATGACATCTATCTTTTGCCAGGCAATATGATTGTTAGATATATAGATGAAAAATGTGTGACCCTCAGGGGCCTTTTAACTGAGTGGGAGACATACTACCAAATTCTTCTGTACCTTAAGTGAATTGGTATAATCAGAGCGTCCATGGTATGCCAGTGTGCAGGGAGCACCTTGAAGTAGAACACAGTGTTTGTGCTGTCCCTGCAGGGCATGGGAAAGCTCTAAACAAAGACATAATCTAGTGCTGGGCTTTACAGAGAGAAGAAACCTGAATGTTAGCCAGAAAAGAGGTGCTCCACAGCTGAAGCAGGGGGCTTTGCCTCTGCTATAAAAGAACGAGCACAGAATGGCTCTGGGCTACAGAGATGGTTTCGCCTGACCCTCACTTTTGTCTTCCCTTTCTCAATCCACAGCCCTTTTTCTCGGGGTCCCCTATCTCTTCACTCTTGGGCAGGGGCACCAGGGGCTCAAGGAAATTACAAGAGAAGGTGTGCCTCAGGAGAAAGGTCAATGGCAGGGAAGGTTTCTCAGATACATGACTCCAGGGCTCACTATTGAAGGAGAAATAGAAGTCTGCTAGGCAGCAGAAAGGGTAGAAGACATTCTAGATAGAAAAAAACATGTAAGGGCAAGAAACATAAAACAGTATGGTCTTGCCACCTGGCACATGATTAAGCCAGAAAACAGATGGCATAATTGTAGGTCAGCTGAAAAGAGAGTAATGAAGTGACTATTTCCAGAGATGTGATCAAGACTAAGGGTGCCAACAAAGGATGGGACGCATTCACGGACAGCAACAGTGGGACGCCATTAATAACCATATGGTAGGAAGAGGCAAGGTAAGAACATGGTACTACCAGAACCTGATGACAGTTGTAGCCATGATAGATGGACTACCCAACAAGAACTGTGGCTAGAAGTAGAGGAATATAAGCACTCCCAAGTCACAGCCTAGCAATGACAAAGTGAGGGTAAATACCCTTTCTCCTCCAGTCTTCAATGGTACCTTCAGCTGGCTAAATCTCACTGCCAGCCAGAGGGCAGGGAAATTAGGGAAGACTTTCTGTAAAGGCCAGTTTCCTAAGACCCAGAGAAGAGCAGATACTGGATCTGGAGGGACAAACAGGGTGACTACCACACCTCAGATGCAGATCCTAGGCCCAGACAGTCTCCTGTTTCTTCAATAGTATAGCACAGGACTGCACCTCTCGCTAATAAGTCCGCTGTCTTAGTTCAAGTGCTATAACAAATTACCATGTAATGTAATGGGTGGGCTTAAACAACAGAATTTTATTTCTCACAAATGGAAGTCTGAGATCAAGGTGACAGCATGATGGGCTCTGTGAGGGCTGCCTTCTGAGTTGCAGATAGGCACCTTGTTTTTCTTTTTTTTTAAGAGAGATTTTTGCTATCGGCCTCATACACTCACCAGAGAGAGAGAAAGAAACAGAGAGACAGAAAGCAAAAGATTGCTCCCTGTGGGGATGGCCATACCACAATCCCTTCTCCGTTCTCCTCTCAGAATTTTGGACATATGCACCCGGCATGAGTTTTAAGCCACTGAGTCTGGGACTCAAACCACAGTCAACTGACTGTGGGAGTCCAGTGACGTGATCATTATGCAATCTGCTGGTCCCAGCCACCTTCTTGTATCCTCACATGATAGAAAGGAGACTGGAGAGGGGCCAGCAGATGGCATGATGGTTATGTTACTGGAATCCCATGTGGTCGATCGCGGTTCAAGTCCCAAAATCTGAAACTTAAAACTCATCCCAGGCATGTGTGTGTGCATGCCCAAGATCCCGAGAGAATGGAGGGGAAGAGATTGTGGTGTGGCCATGCCCCTGGGGGGTGATTTCTTAGTTTCTGTATGTCTCTCTGGTGAGTACATGTGCCCTATAGAAAAATTCTCTCTAAAAATAAAATGAAATGAAATGAAATAAAAAGGTCTGGAGAACTCTCTGGTAAATTTTTTTTTTTTTTTAATAAGACACTGATCCATTCATAAGGGCTCCACACTCATGACCTACATTACATCCCAAAGGCCTTACCTCCTAAAGTGATCACATTAGGGGTTAAAATTTGAACATAGGAATTGAAGGAAGATATATTTAGCCCATAATGTTGCTTTGTTTCTTCTTCCTAAATTAACAGAGGGACTTGATGAATTACATGACAGGAAGAGATTCTTAAGATCTGTTTGCTAGGGGGCCAGCAGTTGGTGTGGAGGTTAAGGTGCTGGATCCCACACGGCCAGTTTCACAGTCCAAGTCCCAGACCTAGTGGCTTGAGAATCATGCTAGGCACATATGTACATACATGCCCCAAATCCTGAGATGAGAATGAAGGAGAAGGGATTGCTGGTATGGCCATTTCCTGTGGGGTGAGGAAAGGGTGATTTCTCTCTCTCTCTCTCTCTCTTTCTAGTGAGTGCATACACCCTATGGGGGGGGAATTGTCCCGACCTGGGCGGGACACCCAAACGGGTTTCCTGAGTGAAGGAGTGAGAGCCGGGACAAGTGGCGTAGTGTTACAGCACGGAGACGACAGTGTTGTCTGTTTATTGTGGGCAGCACGGTACAGCACAGAGACGACGCAGTGTCGCGTCGTCTACTGTGAGCAGCACGGAGACGACACGGTGTCACAGCTCTTCAGGGTCGTCCGGAGACGATGTAGTGTTACAGCTCTTCAGGGTCTCCCAAGTCGTCTGGAGACGATTCAGTGTCAGCTCTTCAGGATCTTCAGGGTCGTCTAGAGACTGCGCGGTGTTTCAGCTCTTCAGGCTCTTCAGTTGTCGTCTTCCTGGTCGTTGTCGTCGTCTCGGTCGTCTGTGTCGTCTGGCTACTGTGGACCAGGCATCGTGGTTATATACACTCTGGTGGGTTGTAAACTGTGGGTCGTGATTGGTTGTAAATGGTGGACTGTGATTGGTTGTAAACGGTGGGCCCTGATTGGTTGTTAACGGTGGGTTATGATTGGTTGCTTTTGGACCAATGACCAATCATGAGGGGCCAGATATGCAAATTTGAGGGATTCTAGTGGCCAATCAGAGCAAGGTTTCGAAGGTCAGGTTTTTGGAAGGGAACCAATCATGGTAATTGTTTGCTCTCTGAGAAACCTCGGCAGACTCGCTGGTGTGCAGCTTCCCACAGGGGATCTGTTGTGCAACTTCTGCCCTTCACTCAGTCTTTGTTTGCCAGTTTTTACAGTGATTTAATAATTTTATATCAATATCTATACCTATAGATAGAGATATGGAGAAAGCCAGATAGTGCATGTGCTTGACGGAGAAAGACAGTATAAGAGGGAACAAGAAAGTACCCCTATCATGGGGTGAGGTCATGCCACAGACAGTCCCTTCTGTGTTTCTCCCTTCTTTTGGATTTGCACGACATGCTCCCAGCATGTTTATCAAGCTGCTGGGTTCAGGACTCAAACCCTGTAGTCAGCCATGTGAGATCCAGCTACCTTAACCACCATGGCTCTCTATCAGATATTTAATAAATAATAATCATAAGACAGTGTAAGATGACATACCATTTACATGCTTATTTATCTAAAATAACTACTTTCATACTCTCTGTATGATACTAGCTTGTGTATTAGCCTCACAGAATACTTTCGTTAACTAAAGACACTTCATACTTGATTCTAGTTAAATCACATTAGAATAGATTAGGGACCAGCAGTTAGCGTAATGGCCATGTCGCTGGACTCCCACATAGTTGACCGCGGTTCGCGTCTTGGACCTGGTGGCTTAAAACTCACACCAGGCACGTGTGCCTGCCTGCCCAAGATCCCGAGAGGAGAATGGAGGAGAAGGGATTGAGGCGTGGCCATCCCCCCTGGGAGGTGATTTCTCGCTTTCTGTCTCTCTCTGTCTGGCAAGCGCATGTGCCCTATAGCAAAAACCTCCCCAAAAAAAAAAAAAGAATAGCTTCAAATTTTATTATGGTGTGGGGCCAGCAGGTGGCCTGATAGGTAAGGCTCTGGATTCACACATGGTCAACCACAGTTCAAGTCCTAGACCTGGTGGCATGAAAATCACACCAAACTTACGTGCATGTGTGCCCAAAATCCCAGAAGGAGATGAGATTGTGTTGTGGCCATCCCCACAGAGGGTGATTTCTCACTTTCCCTTTCACTTTCTCTCTGTCCTTTTGGCAAGCACATGAGCCTTATGGCAAAAAGGTAAAAACAAAACAAACAAAATATTTTATTATGGTAATACATTGTTTGAAAGAGAGGAAGAACAAGATTCCTTATACAACTTTTCTGATCTTTTTTTTTTTTTCAGATCAATAACTCGATCTTACTATCGCAACTCAGTTGGTGGATTTTTAGTATTTGATATTACTAACCGGCGATCCTTTGAACATGTGAAAGATTGGCTAGAAGAAGCAAAAATGCATGTACAGCCATTTCGGATTGTATTTCTGCTAGTGGGACATAAATGTGATTTAGCTTCACAGCGTCAAGTTACAAGAGAAGAGGCTGAAAAACTATCAGCGGACTGTGGTATGAAGTATATCGAAACCTCAGCCAAAGATGCTACAAATGTTGAAGAATCTTTCACAATCTTGACAAGAGACATATATGAACTTATTAAAAAGGGAGAAATTTGTATTCAGGATGGCTGGGAAGGGGTTAAAAGTGGCTTTGTTCCAAATACTGTGCATTCTTCTGAGGAAGCAGTAAAGCCC